GATGTCAACACCAATGCAGACCTCCACCATCACCAGGTACGTGTCCTCTTCCCCACACTCTCCCTTGTTACCCACACAGCGCCCTTCACCTCCGAAGTACCACCTTCGCCCTCACCTCCCCTGCACCCTCATGCGGCCCGGCTATGGCCGCCAGTGCCCTGCACGCAGGCAGCGCCCTACCGCCTAGCGCTGGCCTGCCCTGTCTTAGCGCAGCGCTGCTCTGCATAGCGCAGCACACTTGCATCTTCGCAGCGTGCCCGCATATGCCAGCACTGGCCAAGATCCTCGCTGCCTCGCCCTGCTTGCCTATATGCCAATGCAGCATGTGGGCGGCCTCCCTTCAGCCTGCGACCGGGACCCAGAGGCTGAAGCCTTCCCGATACAGTTGGGCCCCGGAGTAATGCAGTTGCGCCTCTCTTCTCAAGGCCTGCAGCCAGATTCAGATAGTGGGCCGATTTTCCCTTTGGCGTTTCGGCCTCTCTACCCAGCATGCATTGTCGGCCTCACGTTCGAGTGCCCAGGGCCTAACTAACTCAGAGGCCCTGGGCATTTCAGCATTTGCTGAAATCCGAGACTAGGTGCACTCCAACCAACTGGCGTGCTGCAACTGCATAGACCCCACTTCGTGAAATGTTGGCCGAGAGGGTTCTTGTTGATTTGCTGGCCCGCCTTCACTTAGGGCGGGCACTAGGCTTGCTGGGGCATCAGCCCAGAACATGTACATCATGGCAAGGCCCCTACTTGAGGGCTCAATCCTCACAGAAAGTTCTGAAAAACATATATGTGATAGAAGACATTATTCTGAACAACTATTGCCTTGGACCAAAAGTGAAATTGGATACCAATTTGAGATAAAAATTAAAAACGACGAAAAAAAAGAAAAAAAAAGCTGTTTTCCACGTGCGTACAAACGCGTACAAAAAACAAAAATCATGCGTAGTACGGGGGACATACATGTCCACTTACATCGCGTGCAAAGCACTACAAGGGGATGCCCAGACCCTGATCTTCTCTCTTCCTTACTACTTTTGTCCCTTTTTCTTCTTCTTCTTCTTTGTCTCCCAACTGGCACAACTTTCCTTCGCACTCACGTCATTTTGTTCCCAGCGTGGCACACCTTTGCGGCACAAGCATGCACGCCATCAACTCACCTTTTCTTTTTTTCTTTTTCTCTCTTTTTCTCTTTTTTTATAACTAAGGTTACTAAGCTATAGTCTTCACTCATATACCTCACACTATCAAACCTCTTATCTAAGTCCAGTTTTGTTGCCAACCGTTCCTCCCATGTGTAAGGACCGCAGCTTTCTTCCTCATCCCGGGCAAGGGATGACCAATCCTACCCAGAGGGGCAAGCCGACTATCTCAGCTCGTGAACCCCCGTAGCGAGCCGCAGGAGGCTGTGGGTGATTGACATGGAGACTGTGGGGAATCGAACCCAAAACCTCCTGAATGCCACTTTTGTGCTCTACCAACTCACCAACTCAGCAAGGCCAGCAACCCTTACGCCATCTGCAGGGTTTTGATGTCATGGGCAGCTGCATTGAGAGCTTCCACTTCGAAGTTCAACAGCAATTACCTATGTCTGCGAAGGGGGGAAGGGGAGACCGAAAGGAGAAGAGGGAGAAGGAGAAGGGGAAGGAGAAGGAGAAGGGGAGGGGAAAGGCCAAGATAAGGTGAAGGCGAAGTGGAAAGAAAAGGGAGGTGGCAGAGGGCTGGACTCAGGGGGGGGAAGAGTGTGGGACCCGGGCGGGAGGGGGAGGGGAGTAAGTGAGCGGTCAGGGTTGGCTCCTCCATCAGTGCCATAGAGATGGTTAGGGGAGCAGAGGTATGTTTTCTGCATACATTCGGAAGAGCAACCTTGCATGCACAGATCCTCCACAGGTACCAAGGTATTTTATGGTATGGGCATAGCGCAGTACACAAACTCTCTCTCTCTCTCTCTCTCTCTCTCTCTCTCTCTCTCTCTCTCTCTCTCTCTCTCTCTCTCTCTGCAATCAGACTCGCTCTCATTCACACTCCACATGCATGTAAACAGGTTGCGCAGCAAACTGGCGATGAGCGCCCACTCAAAACTCAGAGATATGACAAACAAGAATACAGTTCAGATACAACTCGCTTCAGATGGCTATGGTGACTCAGCGCCTGTACAAGTCTCTGTTCGTCACTCACTCGTCGCTGCTTATTACACACAGGATCACCCTGGATATCCCACACGCATACACTGCACACTCACACACTACACTCTACCTACAGCTATGGAGGCTATGGCCGCTGTCGCTACGGCTAAGCTCCTTCTCTCTCGCCCACTTTGTCTTCGGGCTCACTGCAGACCACCTCGCACAAGTCGCTGTAGCAGCGCTTCCACATGGCTCACGCAGGAATGAATGAATGGCTGGGCGCTGCCCTTTGATTTATACTTCTGTGGCTTGTTGGTCTGGCCCTTTCCCATGCCCGTAGTGCACACAGTCCCATGCGGTACTTGCTTGACTGGACTAGGACTGACTGGGACTGGGACTGCTGACTCGGCACAGGTAGACTCCACCACTTGCCCACTTGCCTCAGCCTAAACGTGGGCAACTTCGAAAGGCCACTACTCAGACCTTCCGGGAGGCCGTGGACTTGGCCTTTCGATACTGTAGCAGCTCCGACCTTGACCCTTCTGGACTGTAGCAGCTACGACCTTGACCTTTCGGAGGGGCTAAAGTTAGGACTTCTAGAACTTGCTAAGACTCCTACACGACAGGTCTACAGATCAAACCCCTACTACCTACGGTGTTATGATCTTGGTTGCCACGATTTTTATCGCCACTCACACACCGACAGACTCATACACGCCCATACATGCACAAGAGAAGGGGGAGAGGAGACAGAGTCCAAACTGTACACAGATCAGAGTATATAGCGGAAGTTCAGCCATGCACAGATGGGGAGAAGACACTGCGTGATTCTCACTCTCTGACAAACTCCCAACAACCAATCACAAGAAGAAACCTGCAAGGATAACAATCGGAATTACACTGATGATGAGCCAATTAAACCAAATATCGTTACAGAGTTTGTTCCAGTATCTCGCCACACTCAGAACTCCACACTCCACTCTCTACCCTACACCCAGTTAGTAGCGCACAACCAAAACAGCCTCCCAGAGGCCAGCGCCAGCCACCCAGATGAAGAACAGATCCTGCGATGAAGTCTTCAGTGCCGATGGACAACTCTGACGAAGAAACAGGCAGCTATGGCTGCCGCCACCCACAAACACTCAGTGAAGAGCCTCGAGATAGCCCGGCCAGATGCAGATACCCTCAGGGGTAGATGCGCTGAGGATGTCCCAGCTCTGACAACCTTCAGGAGGGCCGGCTATGGCTGCTGTCCGCGGTAAGGGTCTCAGGATGCCGCCTGTGTAGACAGTTACCACCGCCAACTTGCTTGGCTTCCCCAAACGCTGCTTCGCGGAAATGAACAGCCAAAAGTCCTGAATCGATTTCCCTAAACTATTAATAGACCTCTACTACTCTAGCCTAGACCTAGACCAGACTGACTGGACCGACCGGTACCGTTTCAGTTTCGGCCTCTCGGCCTCTCCCTACCCGGCTATAGGCTATAGGACCGTCTATCGGTATAGGCCCTTTGGGCCTGTCCGTCCTAGGGGTAGCCCGGGTCTGCTATACGCAGTTAGGGTCAGCTGTCGGAATTTCAGGTTAGTGCTGGGCCTGTATTTTCCCAAATTTGCAGATATGTCCCTCACGAATATTCCTTACAGGTAGGTCTCTCGGTTAGCCCTCAGCCAAACAAAATTATGAATCTACCCTACCGCTGTTACTATACAGCCTCGCAGTCAGTCTCGGCAGTTAAAATCAGCAAGTCACTGCAACGGACCCTACGACAGTCTACCAACTGTTACAAATACACAGGTCACGGGTTCAACTCTCTGGGTCGACACAAATACTATACACAGGTACGGTGATGACTAGGGATCGAGCCCTGGGATCTGCATCGGCTACTGCAAACAGGTGAATACCGTTTCATCTCTCTCTCTCTCTCTCTCTCTCTCTCTCTCTCTCT